GCGACCTTTGCTTATGATAAAATGCAGCAGGGAAAGATCAAAGCCTGGCGTCATGAAACAGGTCGGCCCACCTTCCAGTGTTGCCACTTTGGATGTTTTGAATCCAGATTTAGATGTTTTCCCTTTCATTTCGATGGCGTTTTTGACGTTTATATGGTAGATGTATTTCATTTGAAGTGAATTTATAAAGTATAACCTAAGAAACAGAATGAAATTTGACATCCTAAATGCTATCTTGACAATAAAATTCGGCCTGATAAGAGTAAGAAAGGCTCTTCCACTTGTCAGCTCCCTGATTGGGTATTAAAAGAAATTGGAACAGCTAAAGCATACCAGAGTCATTTTGGATCTGAAGCTTCAACTTCATCATCCAAGCCAAGTTTACACTGTGAATCTTGTAAGGTAGACTTAAGTAAAGATGAGGACATGATTCTATAGGGTAAGTCATATAAATTGCTATGTAATTTGTGACTCTTTCCATTTTGATGTTTTTTCTAGATGTTTTCCACGCAAATTTAGATGTTTTTAGATATTGTTTGACTCCGTTTTGGATGATTTTTGTCAGAGATTGTCTAGGGTGTAATTGTCCAAAACAATCGTCGGCGAGGGATCTTTCTACTGATGAGCGGCTGACCTCTGCTGTGCATGCTTCCCTGTAGAGTTCTTATTATTATCGTGTACATCTACTGATTTTTTTTCCACAACTGCTGCTTCCATTGATACTGTCGGACTGTTTGTGTTATCACTTCTGACGGTTGCCTTATGCCCTTAACGCTTGTGTATGCTACTGGATATGCTGAGACTGCAGTTTGTGTCAGTTTTTTTTTACAGTGGACAGTGATGAACATTCTATGTGGTTTTTGGTGGCGCATGTACAAAGCACACGTGTAGCACCCAGTTTGCAGTGAAGTTGAAAGGGCTGCGTGGTCTCAAGGGATGGTGTCCACCTCGAGTGCTAGAGGTTCCGGGTTCAATCCCCGATAAGGACTGGGATTTTTTCACGCGGACTTGTACTTCTAGTAATTCTAGGTAATGAAATCGAACGCCCGTGGGAATTGTTGCGCAGGTAAAAAAAAATCCTTTGGCAGTTGAAAATCGAAAAGTCTACCCTAACGGGGCTTCCTGGGCAAATTTTGAGTTCAAAATCTACCCAAAGTATTTCATGATCCTCGCCGGTGCTACATAGCCTGTGCACTGTGCTGAGTTTCTTCGGACACAGACTTGAGTTAGAAGACGGAGCACTTATGGGTTACTAACCGTGTGCCATGATGTTGATCTGTTGTTCAAACCTTCAAACCTGCTGTGAAGTTAAAACCGTGAATACTTGATTACTGAATTATTATAAGTGGTGCTTTATTAATATCCAACCCCCCCCCCCCCCCAGATGACTTCACAGCACAGTCCAAAATAACAGTGGGCGGTAAGACTGGGTTTCCCAGCTTTCTGGTGCTTTTAACGACCCTAAAATATCTAAAACTGACCTTACCCCAACACACCTATGTCCCACGAGAGAGTACAACCTAGGTCCCACGACTGCATGCAGCCTAGGTCCCACGACTGCATGCAGCCTAGGTCCCACGACTGCATGCAACCTACCTACCACCCCCTGAATTTTTAGACTGTCCTGTGACATGTGGATTTTCCCTGTTTGGGGTAGGATATTAATAAAGCACCTGATAGTTTATGTTAACCAGGTCATGCAGGATTTCGAGGTTCTTCTTCTTTGTCCGTGGTATTCTAAGAACCTTTCTGTGATATTTCAAGTCAAAAGCTCCGATTTTTCCTCTTTTTTTTTCAAAACCTGATTGAGACTCCATGAATCGCTTCCATAAGAAGGCAAGGATATCCAAACAAATCATACAGCAACAGGTAAGAAGATAGACCTGTGTCGGATTGAATTCCAAATACGATATCCAAATGATTGAACAGAATCCCTATGTGGGTTCCAGGGCCTTGTTGTAGAGAATATACCCACTGCCAGAGAAGAAGCGTGTCGTAAGAGTCAACTATTTAGGAATGTGTCCTTCAAAATTGTAGTGCATCTGCTTGAGAGGCAAGGCGCACAACTCAAATTCTGGAACAGGGCTGAAGTCCTGAATGAATTAAAATTAAAATTGTAATTGTGTGTTATGTTGTAGTTTTGAGACTTTAAAATTAATGTTTAAGGAGAATATTTTGGCCAAACAAGATCACAGATGAAGAACTGAGGAGGAAAAAAACAGAATGTGCATCACTGGTAAATGTTATCAAAGTAAGATGACGGAGATGGCTTGGACATGTTTGCAGAATGCCTTGTGACACTGGAAAAAACAGCTCTTGGTGGACAGCAGATGGGAAAATGAGACATGGACGACCTAAGGAAACCTGAAAACGGTCAATAGAAGGGGAAATGAAGGAATGGAAACTGACATGGGATACCATGGGTAGAAAAGCAGCAGACCGGCAGTAATGGAGATCACTTATTGTGATGACCCTGCTTTGCGTGGTCTCCACGAGTACATTGTGGCAAGCAGGAAGTCCGTGCTACAAGTGACGGCACGAGATACTTGGGGCCGGTGGAGTAAGCGAGGCGAAGCCCGAGCTAGCCTCGTGGTCAGTCGATCATCAGAAGTCAGAGAAGACGGTTGTAGTATTTGAAGATGTCGTCTTTATGTCGGGCAAATGGTTAATGTTCGAATGTGTCGCGAGTGAAATAAATGTGAAATAAATGAGCCAGAATAAACTGACAGATTGTACAATGAAGCTGAGTGGCGTTAGTGTTGTCAACCCTAGATGTTAAAGCTGGTGCAAACCAAGGTACATTAGAAGTCTACGTCAAGGTTCATTCCAAGTGTAGCATCGACTCATTCCAAGCAGACCACGCTTCATTTCAAGTAGACCAAGATTCATTTCACTTATGAATGCCTTATGTGTCAACAACGACATGAAGAAGATATAAAGAGATTGTAGTTAACAGCTAGGATGTGACACATGCACGATACAGCTCATAAAATCCGATTTCATAAAACCGTTAATTACGACAACCTTGTTGAGGAGACAGGGGGTCTTCCCCCTCCCCCCCCCACCCCACCCCCCCCCCACTCCCCCCCCCACCCCACCCCCCACCCCCCATCCCCAGGATCCGAGCTGAACAAAAATTGTATAAATGTCAGACGTGATTTTTCTACCGTACCTGCCAAGAGCTGCTGCTCACGAAAGCTCCCTTCTTACATCTTCTTCTGTGTTATCTTGAATGGAATGTCCTACAGGCTGTGTCTTTCGTAATAGATGCAATGTGATATACCGAAACCGCTGAAGTATTTACAGATATATAACGGGGAGGGAGAGGGAGATAATATACAGAACAACAGTAAGGGTTTTTAAAAAAAGCATATTGAGGTGAGCGACTCGACTTTTGTGCACTAGAATGTATGCTCTTCAACACAGTGTCTTTCCGCGGAGTGGGTGGTTCTTTGCAAAGAGCGTTGTAAAAAATAAAACATAAAAAATGTATGACAATCCTCATCGCGACCTATTCTCCCATTGGCTGGCCCGTTGACGACTTCGCCGCCAGTCGGGACAGTATTTCGAGCTGTCTCCTTTTCACGTCGGCTCTGTGGCTAAGTCGATGCCAACGCTTCGTAATGCCGGGTTCGATCCCAGCTGCGGGCCATGCGCCTTGCGTTGGTTTCGACAGTTGTCTCAAGAAAGCCGACCGTACAGTAGGCGATGCCAAACTACTGGACGTAAATTTGCCTAGAAAACCACACAATAGCCAGGGGCTGTTGGGGTTGGTTCTGCAACGTCCTGTAAAGGATAGGCAGGGGCTGTTGGGGTTGGTTCTGCAACGTCCTGTAAAGGATACGCAACTAACCTAACATCCTTTTCACAGCTCTTGGTGGCGTGTAATGGTAAGCCATTTTATGTGGCGCACAAAACCTGGTCACAATTATGACCTTAAGCTCCTCCTCGGGGTTCTGGTTGAACATGACGCTATTATTATTTTGTTTCCAGAAAAGCAACTACCTCTGTATGGAGTCGCCGTGGCGGAGCGGCTAGACGCTCGCCTGCGGATCGGAAGGTCAAGGGTTTACGCTCTGCCGCAGCAATACTTTTTTTCTTCAAAAATGACCTTGACTCCCAGGTCGACCTAGCCTTGAGTGGGTACTGGGTGCAGTCCCGGGAAGAAAAAGCCGCCAGGGTAATACTGACTACATCAACCATCATGTGTCTTTAAAATATAGGTCTGGCCCTATGTGCCCTATACGCCTCATAGAGTGGAAAAGGGTTCTTTACTTTTACTTTACCTATCTCTATAACTTCAGTAACCAATCTAGTCATCACCTTCATAAATTTCCAATCTCGTCTCTAATCAACATGAGGGAGTGGAATGAACCTTGGCTTGACATGGAATGAGCCTTGGCTTGACTTGAAATCAACCTTGGTTTGCACCGGCTTCAGCGTCTAGGGTTGACAACACCAACGCCACTCAGCTTTATTGTACATTATGTCAGTTTATTCTGGTCCATTTATTTCACATCTTCAAACATTATTCGCACTTCTATCACTCGCGACATATTCGAACACTAACCGTTCGCGCGACATAAAGACGACATCTTCAATTACTACAACCGTCTTCCTCGACTTCTGTTGATCAACTGGCCACGAGGCTAGCTCAGGCTTTCCCTCGTGTACTCGACCAGCCACAAGTATCTCGTGCCGTCACTTGTAGCACGGACTGTCTGCTTGCCACAATGTACTCGTGGAGACCATGCAAAGCAGGGTCACCACAGGGAGAAACTGTGATCCCCCGACTGACGGACATCAACGGCTAATGCCATTCCCTGTCGATCAGAAGCTCAGTAATTTCATCATTTCATTTTCTCCTAGTGGCACCTCTTGTTTTCGCATATTATTATGTGTAGCGCCTGCGTCGGTAGTTGTTCTGGCTGCATTCTGATGAGACACAACCATGTTCGGGACTAAAAGAGTTAATGTCAATGTCTTTGGTTCTCTTTCAGAATAGTCGAGAAAAAGTAGTCGGGCAGTTGATTTCCCTTGCAGTGGAGCTGCAGAGAACCGAACGCTGGATAGAGAACTTTACCGGCGAGGTCAACAGAACCATCATAGACCATCAGGAGTTCATACACCGGACAACTAAGGATAGAGGATGGGATGGCATCGAGGGCGAGGATGAAGAAGGGCTCTGGACTTTCGCTAGCTCTTTGCTCTACGCTATAACGGTTACCACAACCATTGGTGAGTACGTCTTGTGAAAGTTGTCCATCAGAATTGTCATCATCATTATGGTTACCATCATTATGGTTATCATCATTATCATTATCATTATCATTATTATTATCATTATGGTCATTATAAACATGGTCATCATAATTGTGATAATCATCATTATGGTTGTCTAAATTATAGTTATCATCATTATGATAATCATCATAATCAACATAATTTAAGCCTTCTCGTGTAGGTTCAGGAATCCCATTGTTGTGGTGTTGGGGGAGGGAGGGGTGGCGGGGGGGGGGGGGAGACAAAAAATTACCCACTGCATTCCCAACAAAGCATGTCGTAAGAGCCGACTAATTAGGTGCTTCTTTAAAAGTCGGAGGGCATCTGAATGAGAAGCGAAGAATTGACAGTCTGCATACAAATAAAAAAGATCTGTAGAACGGACGCACACCCGAAACTCAGGTCCTGGTACAAAAGCAAAGTCCAGAAATGGACAACAACAAACAGGTATTTCCGTCGGGGTTTACAGCCGGGGAACGCAAACAACAACAGGATAATTTAGGATTGGCGAATCAGACATGTGTACCAGTGGATTGGCACCCGAGACAACAGATCACGTCCTCCAAGACTGTCCCCAATACAACAAAACTTTTAGCCAAGTGAAGTTCATGCAACAACATTACAGATTCAGATCATCTTTTTCAAGCAAATCAAAGATGAAAAAAGAATTAGCATCAAATTTATCACATAGTTACTATTATCGCTATAATCGTCGTCATCCCTGTGATATAATCATAAGATGAATAATAGATGAATCTGCGACAGATCCACCTAGGCTACTCTTTTTTATTTCTAACTGCCAAAAGATATTTTTTTTTTTTACGTGCGCAAAAAGGCACACGGACGTCCGATCACTACCCAGAGACCAGGGGGAATTACTAGAAGTCCAAGTCCACGTAAAAAAAAAAAAAAATCCTAGCCCTTACCGCAGATCGAACCCGAAACCTATATCACTCGAGGCGGATCGCTCGCATTAAGTTCTCATGTTACCGTTCCTCTTCCTAGAATAAAGCCTGTATTCTTCCCCAATATCTAGAGCTGAAAGAGTTAACTTGAGAACAAAGACATTGTTCTCATGTATCTTTCTCCTATATTTCTTAGAGCTCATCGACTGTTAACCCCAGCGAAGTTAGTTCTTTGTTTGTTTATTTTAGTATTCAGAAGCCATGAGTTGTTAACCCTCAGGCTGTGTATTATGGATATCGCAACCTTTCGGCCTTGATTCCATTGTAAAAACCGTAAATCTGGGAGAAATGTGGCTTTTCTGCCTACCCCCAGGAGTGAACCCGGACCACAAGTAGTTCGTCACCCCGTCACCGCGCAATCCGGTTTAGCCAACTACGCTAGAGAACCGGGCTAGCGAAGTTAGTTAAATATCTACCTAAAATATTTCAGGATTCTCGCTGGTGAAGAGAGAGAGAGAGAGAGAGAGAGAGAGAGAGAGAGAGACTGAGAGAGAGAGAGAGAGACTGAGAGAGAGACTGAGAGAGAGAGACTGAGAGAGAGAGACTGAGAGAGAGAGAGAGACTGAGAGAGAGAGAGAGAGAGACTGAGAGAGAGAGAGACTGAGAGAGAGAGACTGAGAGAGAGAGACTGAGAGAGAGAGACTGAGAGAGAGAGACTGAGAGAGAGAGACTGAGAGAGAGAGCGCGAGACTAAGGGAGAGAGAGAGACTGAGAGAGAGAGAGACTGAGAGAGAGAGAGAGACTGAGAGAGGAGACTGAGAGAGAGACTGAGAGAGAGAGAGACTAAGAGAGAGAGACTGAGAGAGAGACTGAGAGAGAGACCGAGAGAGAGAGAGACTGAGAGAGAGAGACTGAGAGAGAGAGAGAGAGAGAGAGAGAGAGAGAGAGAGAGAGAGAGAGAGAGAGAGAGAGCGAGTTAGGCAACCTTACAGCATGCTAGAAATAGGGAAGGCAGTGGGTCTGTTCTGTTGTTTTCCCTTCCATAATTGGGGGACCCAGAACCCACACGGGGAGTTTCTAGGTACATGAGTGCTTTGGTGGAGAGAAAATATATCGTAACGTTCAAACAGCATTCCTAAAAGGGGGCATTAGGTTATAAGTGAGACAAGGTTATGTCATCGTTATCATGTGCACTTGACAACTAGCGTAGACTCTCAAGCGTCTCCACAGATCACAATCCCTGGTTGCCTGGAAGTTCTCTCTACGTGATATTCCTCCTTGCCATCGTTTTAGCCAGTTTAGCATCATCTCACTTGATCTGCCTCTACCCCTTTTTCTATTGATCTTTCCAGTTGTCAGGATGTTCTCCAATGTCTCTCTTCTCATTTTATGGCCAAACAACATTGTTTGTCTCTTTCTTATTCTTATGTGCGCTAAAAAAAAAGTAGGTTAGCATTTCACGCCACCAAAAGTCTTGAAAAGGACTTCAGCAGTGTCGATGCGATCAAAGGAGACAGACTCAAATACTATCCCGCCCAAGACGAAGTCGTCAACAGACGAACCAGTGGGTGACCTAGTCCCAAGTGAGTTCTTACGCATGAATCCAGACAGATGTACAACTACTCAGACGAAGCTGGTGTTTACAAAACGAAGGACATGCCCATTAAAATCTTACCAGACACAAGATGCGGCTTGGACGATAATCCTCGTGGTGACCTTTGTGTACCACGTAACACACGTCACAGAGAAAGGTCAACCGTGACATCATCATAATCAGTTTGCCAGATACCGGAATGGTGCAGCTTCTGTTCACTATCCTATCACCGTTATTATTTTGGCTCCCAGTTTAGGAAAATCTGGTAATAGAATTGTTACAAAGTCTGGCCAAAAAATACTATAATTAATTTCTTTAAAAAAGCCATACTGTCCAAAGCCACTAAAAGGTTGGGGTTTCATTTATCAGCTGAAAATTTGATCAATAAACAAGCGAAGTAAAGGCGAAACCAGGTTCCGCTGGCTAGAAACTAAGCTGAGTGCGTGTTGCGACACTGTGAGCTGTTAATTACAAGGGGAATGCTTCTTGTATGTGCTGCCGGTGAAGTGTGTTGTAAAACGCGTACACGTGTTGATTTGTCATGACTGTTGCTTTTATCAACTATAAATAGACATAGGGACGGGCTGTAGGGTGTCGGCATATCTGATGGCTGCTTTCAGTGTCTGATGTGTGTGCGAGCTGTTAAATGTTTCGGAGACTTTTTTTTTTTTTACTTTTCACATGCGACAACCATGGGCGTTTTATGGGATTTGTGCACATGTGATAGGTTGCCCTAGCCAGCGGAGCACGTACTCCGGGACTGCACTGAATTTGACACTTTAACCCTTTCAGGAACGTATCACGCGTTCATATGTTTCTAACTAGAAACCCAATCAACGTGAGATGTGTTGATTATACATTTCTCTTTACTACCCCATGATACTACCTCTAATACTAAATATCCTAGGACTGAAAGAGTTAAGGCAAAACTTTTGGTCTAAAAAGAACAACTGGAACGTAAACTGTAAGGAGCTCTGAATAAACAAAAAAAAAAACAACAAAAAAACAGCGAAATGTTTACGAGATACAAATTTACTGATAAAAAGAAAGAGGAGGGAAAGAAAGGAGAGTAGAGGGGAGATGTTGGTGGCAAAGAACCTATGAACATGATAGACAGGTTGACAGGCACACACACAATCACAACGAAAGAGAGAGAGAGAGACAGACAGAGAGATCACTTAGGCTGATCAAGAAAAAGACGAATGACAGTAACACACGCACAAGGAGATAAAGTTCGTGAGAGAGAGGGAGAGGCTTATGTTAGAATATGTGAGAGACAGATTAGCACACAGAGATAGAGAGAGAGAGAGAGAGAGAGAGAGAGAGAGAGAGAGAGAGAGAGAGAGAGAGAGATAACCCTGACTGATACAGAAAAAGAAGCAGAATGACAGTAAAACACGCACGCACATATACACACTTACAAACACACACACGCACTTACATTCACACTCATACACACACTTACAAACACACACACACACTTACACATGCATAGAGATAAAGAAAGAAAGAGGGCTAAGAACTACGTATGTTAGAGAATGTGAGAGACAGATTAGCATAGAGATAGAGAAAGAAAGAGAGAGGGCTAAGAACTACGTATGTTAGAGAATGTGAGAGACAGATTAGCAGAGAGAGAGAAAGAAAGAGAGAGGGCTAAGAACTACGTATGTTAGAGAATGTGAGAGACAGATTAGCAGAGAGAGAGAAAGAAAGACGGAGGGGGCTAAGAACTACGTATGTTAGAGAATGTGAGAGACAGATTAGCAGAGAGAGAGAGAGAGAAAGAAAGAGAGAGGGCTAAGAACTACATATGTTAGAGAACGTGAGAGACAGATAAGCAGAGAGAGAGAGAGAGAGAGAGAGACAAAGAAATAGAGAGGGCTAAGAACTACGTATGTTAGAGAATGTAAGAGACAGACAAGCAGAGAGAGAGAGAGAGAAAGAAAGAGGGGGAGCAAAGAACTATGTATGTTTGAGAATGTGAGAGACAAGCAGAGAAAGAGAAAGAGAGAGAGAACGAAGAACTGCGTATGTTAGAGAATGTGAGAGACAGACTAGCAGAGAGAGAGAGAGAAAGAGAGAGAGAGAGAACGAAGAACTGCATATGTTAGAGAATGTGAGAGACAGACTAGCAGAGAGAGGGAGAGAGAAAGAGAGAGAGAGTTCGCATAGAACTACGTATGTTAGAGAATGTGAGAGACAGACTATCAGAGAGAGACAGAGAGAGAGAGAGCACGAAGAACTATGTATTTAGAGAATTTGAGAGAAGACTATCAGAGAGAGAGAGAGAGAGAGAGAGAGAGAGAGAGGGAGAGAGAGAGAGAGCGAAGAACTACGTATGTTAAAGAATGTGAGAGAGACTAGCAGAGAGAGAGAGAGAAAGAGAGAGAGAGCTCGCAAAGAACTACGTGTGTTAGAGAATTTGAGAGAAGACTATCAGAGAGAGAGAGAAAGAG